TGATTCGTCATGTAAGAAAAGAAAGGCTCACATGTCGTTGATGACACAACAAGTTATCATGGACGGATCTGAAATTTTCTGGAGGGGATTAGGGAAGGGGGGGGGGGGTTCTTGATTTTCATAGCTCTCCCAAAGTCACTAAAAAGATCCAGGTCTGTTTTTTTTGGCCTGTTCTTTCAAAATAGTGCTTTGGGGGAGCTAAGACATAGTCTTTTTAGTGCTTTGGGGAGCTAAGAAAATCAACTTGGTCGACATGAAAAAAACTTTGACAAAATTTCGAAATGTTTCTTGAAAACCATCCCCTTCCCCATCGAGAAAACCCTAGATCCGCCACTGAGTATAAGTAAAGATAAAGTTTCAAAAAAAAATTACAAAACTAATTCATGGCGCGAAATTTTTTTTGCTCTGCAAAAAAACTTCCTAAAACCTCGTAGATGTAAGATCTCAACTGGGCTAAGCAGACATTATTTGTTACTATTTTTTCCCTTGTTCAATCTCATCTTACAAAATCAAACCATCTAACCTGCAGAACATACAACGAAAAGCTGAAATTTATATGAGTCTTTTTTTTCTGAAAATTGAAACAAAGAATATTTTCCCAATTCGATCAAAAAATAAGAAAAGACTTGATTTAGTTAAAACCACCTCAAAAGCTGCGGCTCAAAAGTTTTGGCGCAACTTTTACCTGACAGAACTTGAACGTTGTTTCAGCTAAAATGAGATGTACATTTGATTTGTTAAATAAAAACGTTCCATTATTTTCTTCTTGCTTTTTTCGTACCTTTTTTCTCATTGTTATCTCATTGTCAACCCCCCCCCCCCGTCCCGATAAGCCCTTCAGTTTCTGGAATTTTTCCTATTTTTTGCGTGATAAAATCATTTTTGGGCGGTTTTTTGTAACGCCAGGCAAATTTTTCTACCCCCTTTGAGAGAAAAGGGGATAATTTGGGGATAGGTGAGGAAGTGTCAGTGTATGTGTGTATTGGGCGTAAATTTGGGTAAAGATGTATTTTCGGCTTGTTTTTTCAACGTCGACTAAATTTTGAAAACATTTGATTTAAGTATGGGTAGGGGCAGGGGCGGATCTAGGATTTTCTCGAGGAGAGCCGGATTTTCAAAAAAAATTCGAAAATTTTGACGATCTGTTTTTAGGTCGATCGTATTGATTTTCGCAGCTCTCCTAAAACGGTGAAAAGACGCTGTTTTTTGCAAATTTTTCTGCACCGCAGGCAAATTTTTGAAAAAACAGGGCAAAAAAGCCGTTTTTGTGCATTTTTTTGGAAAATTTCACAACAGAAATACGTTTTTTTTTGGCGCGTGCTCCCCATCAAGGTTATTGTATATTGGCGCCGAAAGTGCATTTTGAAAAAGTTTTAGTGTCCGTCACCAAAAATGGATTTCTTAAAAAGTACCAAAGGGGGACCCTTTGGATCGGCAGGGTGTCGAATCCCTGAGCCCCCCCCCCCCCGCTAAGTCCGCCCCTGGTTTTTAAAGGTTTGCCAAAAGTGTTTTAGACAAAACGACATAAATGGGAATAGATTTAGAAATTATGTTGGCTGTGAGGCAAAAAATAGGATGATTTTCTCACAATTTTAATAGAGTATAGTAGGCAAAAAAGTATTTTACAGGATTTTCAGTCAATTTCAAGCGTGAATTTTTCCAAAAAATTATATTTTCTGAAATCCATTATTTATTGGTTATAGTTCATACGCAAAAACTGTTTTTTAACCCCCTGCCGATCCAAAGCGTCCCATTTTTGGTACTTTTTAAGACATCCGTTTTTGGTGACGGACCCTATAATTTTTCTAAAACCGCCTTGGGCACCAATATATTAACTTTAAGGGGGAGCGCGCGCCAAAAAAAAAGGAATTTATATTTGTGAGAATTTTCCAAAAAGTGCCCAGAAACGGTGTCTTTTTAGTGCTTTAGGAGAGCTCCGAAAATCAATTTGGTCGAACGCGTAATTTTTGATTAATTAAGAAAAGCCAAAATAACCCATTTTTGGGGTAACATTTTGGACCCAAATTTCGCAAAACAAATTGCACTATATCAATTCTGCTAATTTTTAAGCAAGTTTTGTCCTCATAAATTTTCGCCTAAGCTCAACCCAATTTGAGAAACACGCGTTTCAAGTTTCAAGTTTAACGCGTTTTGTCCGGTTATTTTAAATCAGCGGTGCGTATTCGTAGGTTCCAAAATAAACAAGACTGCTCAAATCAAGGCGAAGCCCTGAATATTCCGACTGCCTTTTCAGGTTTTTGGAGCAGTGATAACATTGAAAAATCAAATTAAATAAAACAAAATGAATTTCAAATTTTAGAAGAAAAAATTTATTCTTCTAAAACTTGAAATTTTTTATGAAAATCATCCCCTCACACGCCATATAAAGTACAAAAAGATAGATTTTGCTCCTTGTAACAAATCTATTTTTTGGCGAAATATCGTCCTTCAACCAATTGGGAACGATTTCTATAACGGAACAACTCTCCGCTTACGCGTCAATAGCGCGAAATATATCGCGCGTTAATTGTACCAAATGGCAATCTTTAAACCCCTGCAACTTTACGAATAACAATCACAGGTGAAATATCTTTTCAAATTTGAGCTCAGGACAACAATACTTTTCGAATGATATTAAAAAATTCCGTCAAAAATGGCTAGTTAAAAAGTCGAAATTTGTCTGAAGAAAAAAAACCCACCCCGAGCACAAATATTCCGTTACTTTCGTATCGAAAGTCGGGAAAAAAATAGGTCGCATAGGTTCCAAAACAAAAAAAGCAGTCGCCTAAGTTCTAAATCTTTTCAATTGGTCAAAAGACTAAATTAGCCGAGTCTCGGTTTCGGGTCGCAGATGGGCGCGCTAGGCGCGCGTCGCCGCTTTGCGGCGATAACCGGTTCTAACTTTCGTATAGAGTCCTACTTTTTGGTGAAAAGCTCGCAACACGTTGGCACGGCTGCGGCGGTCACTTTTCTGCAGCTTGAGTTTATGCTGGTTGAACAGAAAACAATCAATCCATAAATTCGTTGGCTCAATATTCAACCAATCAGAATTCAAGAATATAAATTTTGGAACTGGTTTTTTTTTCGGAACCTATGAGAATTCACCAAATCAATACTTTTTTCCGTTTTTAATTGATTAGATTATATTCCTTCTCAGTTTTAATAAGACTCGAACTAAAATCATAATATAATCGATTATGAAACTGAACGTGGGATTGCTTTTTCTAAGGGCGTCGTTCTCATTGATAAACACTTATTTTGAGGTGACAGACGCGCTGTGAGAAACCCCTATCTTGGAGAAATTGATTCTTTTCCACTCTCGCACCTTTACCAATTTTCTACTGTTAGCTGTAATAAGTAAAATTACGGCTAAAAGCTTGATGTTACGATGTAGGTGTTTGTTCACCATGCCAATTTTTTTGCATGACATTGTGGTGGCGTGTCACGGAGCCGAATACCCGGATAGCCGAAAAATAAATTCGTTCCCGGATAGCCGAAAAATAAATTCGTTCCCGGACAGCCGAAAAATAAAAAGCTATTGAGGGCCACCAAACTGAGGGCCAAATTTAAGGGCAACCATCCGAAATCATAATGATAATGCAGGGGAGGATGATGGATTTTCTCGAGGGGAAGTGGGACAAATATTTTAAAAAAGGCCAAAAATGGCGTTTTTGAGAATTTTGAAAAAATTTGATTAAAAAATTGCTTTTTTCAGCTCGTGCTCCCTTTTAAAATTAGAAAATATTGAAAAATTTTACGGTTTGTCGGCCGAAAATGGATGTCATAAAAAATATCAAAGAGGAATCTTTGGGTTGGTGAGGGGGTCGAGTTGGCGAGGGGGTAAAAGTATTAGCCAATCAAATCTCTTAAAATTGTTCGTAATTTTGTTAGCTAGCAAGCTGCAAAATTTTGAGGCACTTTTTTGTCCAATCAAAATGCGTCTCAGTTTAGTGACAAATTTTCCGATTGGATTTAATTAAAACCAAAGGTATTTAGTTTTTCGACTATCCGGGAATGCGGCTGCGTGGGTACTCACCGACATTGTTAGAACAATTTTTCATTGTGCTTGGGCTTGAACGGTGCTCTATTTATTTCGAATGCTCTATTAGAATGGTTTGCTTTATTTATTTCGACCCCTATGATAGCTTGTAAATAATCCATAACCCCCCCTTATAATGATACGGAACTGCACAGTTACGCATTTACGATCTTTTCACATTGTTACGAGTCGTTCCTCCCAATTCAAAAAAGGGGAATAGTTAATAGGATACCAAAGTTTTAGCATATTTTTCGATACTTGTGTTCTTTTCGATGGGATACGAATATCATATTTGCATCGAAGCTATATTCCCATCAGAAAAGTTCCAAGTGAACCAAATGTCCAACTATTCAGAATTTTTTTTAGCAGGTTTTATCCAAAAGGAAAAGAACCATTACACCAGCTGTTCAGCTCATCATGGAGAACCGCTGTTGTGCCCATGCTTAAGAACTACATGCATTTTATACTATAATTCTGGGGAAAAGTATAGTCTCAAAATCTTCTGACTCAAAATGTGGCTCAACTTAAAAAGATATTTTTAATCTAATAAAAATAATAATAAATTGTTTGCAATTAGATTCCATTCATTTTAAAAGTTACTATATTTTACAATCAAGTGAAATCTCACTGCGAGAACGCCGTGGAACTTTGAATCCCGTTTACAGGCGCCTCTGATCTTGCTATGACTTCTGTTGGTTTTTAACATCGATAGTTAATCAAGAAATCAATAAAAATGATTTAATGAAAAAAAAACTTGAAGCGAAAAAGGGGGAAATTTCAGCAGTAACCCTACCCTTGACAGCAATTTCTTTTTTAAATCCATATGAGACAGAGTCTTATATTTAGAGTCAGATCTGGACATTTTGAGTCAGATCTTCAACTTAAAATCTGACTCAAAATTTGTCTCCAAATCTGACTCAATTAGACTCGGTTTAGATTTTTTATTGAGAATTCTGAACTTTGGTATAAATTTCTGCCATGAACTAATCCAGTCGGCTCAATGTTACAAATTTAGACAAAATCAGCATTTGACAAAGTAAATGGACATGTTTTAGCCATCACCAGAACTGCTAGATTAGATTTATCATCTGGTTTGTATTCTTGAGTCTGCCCCAAATATGATTGCATGTAATGGAACATGGAACAGTTTTCCGCCATAAGTTTTTCAAACTTTTTCTCAGCCTCCTCTGGACTTTTCAGCTGGTTTTTTCCATAACTACTGCAAAGACCACCACTTTTGAACCCTAAAATATATTTTGAGGTCATCAGTTGAGGAATCAGTGGGAGCTGGGGATGGGGTATTATTCAACCTGGCTGCACTAAAGGCAGGGGACCCTTTCTTGCTAATACTTTTTTCGACAGGCAATTTTGAAACGTACGTTCATATAAAGTCTAATCCGGGATCAAAGTTAACATCTTCCCCTTCTAGCTTGATTGCATTTAACTTTTTTTTAAAAAAACTTAGTGTTGCGTGTAAGCTGCTCGATTCTGATTGGCTGAAAAGTGCCACTTAAAAAAAGTTCAGTTAGTGCTTCAAATGACTACAAATGTATTTTATCCAAACTGGAAAATTGATTTAAGTGACAAAATAAAATATATGTTTGTCACTTAATGTTTGTCACGAGTGTTTGACAAACTAAAACTAAATATATATAGGGGGTTTCAAAAAACTTTGAAAATTTTGTCCACTTTTTTGCTCGACCAAATTGATTTACGAGCTTTGAAAAAATAACAGCAGGCAAAATATTTTTTAAAAAAACAGGCCAAAAAAGGCCAAACTGACCCTGATTTTGACCAAAAAATCGCGTTTTTTCGGCGCGCGCTCCTCCCTCGAAATTTTCAATTAGCTAATTCTAGCTAGAGCCATAGAGGGAGTTTTAAGGAGAGCACAACTTTGATACCAACCGAATATTTTCCAGTCTCCGCTATCCTCAATTAGCCCAATTCTAGTATCCACCAGCTGGATGGTGTGGTTCTTGCTTTTAAAGTACCAGGCCATTTTCACACAAAGTTGTTGCATCAGAACAGCGTAGTTATGAATGTCATAGGCCTTGTTACCTTCTTCCATTATTTTCATCAATATTTGAGATCCTGGTTTCTCTGATTTGATAACCGCATTGCCTTAAAAGACAGCAACGATGGTCGTATATCCCGGATGCTTCGACTGCGCTTAAAATGCCAATTAAGAAACTTTGACGTAGAAAAAGTTGATGAAATAGTAAAAAAAAAAAAAGAGAATAGTTATTTTTACGAATTTTCTTCTTCGTTTCATATTCTCACACAGTAAGTAAAATCACCAGGGATGCAATTCACGCCTCGTATTCCAATAAAATAATAAGACTGCTCGTATCAGGTCAAAACCCTGACTGTTTCGACTTACCACTAATTGGTCTTGAATGGTTTTTGCTAAATGAAAAATTGACAAAACACGAGTTTTAGGCTGATAACATCAAAATGTTAACGTTTGAGTCATTTATGGATTTAATAAGACCAATTAGCTTGCCTCATTTCAATTTGGAAGGATTATGAGTGCGGGTAATTTGCCGCGCACAAATAAATTGAAACAAATTGTCAAGGTATTTTTCCATCTGCAAAGACGCATTTCAAACTAGTGCAAACATACTCGTTTGGCAAACCCAAGATTTCCGGATCAATACTCATACGCAATCAACTTCAGTCAAATTGAACAAACTTTCAACAGTCAACACTGAATGAACAAATTAAAATAAAAAAAAACACTCCGGGCATATATATTCCTCAGTTTCTTCAAGTCGGGTCAAAAAATTGTCTCATTTATAGTTGGAGCGATTTAATCCGCTGCGGACGCCTGTTAAAAGAACGCATTGGGTTTTAATCATCCCAAATTGGCCATTTTAGGAGTTCTCAAACCTCCATAATTTAATAAAAAACAATCGCAGCCGATTTTTTTTTTCATTTGAGCTCCGGCCAAATTTTTTTTTGGTTAGTATAAAAATATTTTAGTCAAGACTGATTAGTTAAAAAATCTAAACCTGAATAAATTTTTTAATAAATCACATCAAGGGTAATTATTTTGATACTTTCCGTGGTGCATGTAAAAATCAATATTAGTTTCGCTCTGGTTTAATTCATTTGAGTGATAATCAAAAAAAGACTCAGAACAAAGCTTTCAATGATGCAACTGCCCTTTTCAAGGGATTCTCAATAAGGGATTCGTGATTAAAAAGGAAGCAAAGTTTTATAGCTTTGGATTGATATATTTTAATCAAATCAAACTTGATTTTTTTCTACCGGTACAGCGTCAGCAAATTATTCGTGTTCTTATTCACCTATTTTAAGCTAAGCCTGCAAAAACTATGAGTTTAGGGAATGAATGGTATAAACAAAAAGACCACAACTTACTTATCATTCCGCCACTTGCTCTCGCCAGATACTTTGGAGCGAGGTCGATTTGTTTCATGGCCCAGATGTCACTGTCGATGTAGATTCCTCCAAATTTGTATACAAGTGCCAAGCGAAGAGCATCACTTAGATGAACAAAGCTGTGACTAAAAAAGACGAAAGAGGTCGCTATCTTTTTTTTTGCTTAATCAGAAATCGTTTGTTACCAAACTGAGCAAAATGGGGTTCTTCCTCAGTTTTGAATCTACTTCCTTGCGTTCCCATATTTTCACTGCACTTCTTCTTCGGCCTATCTATGGCACATCGTTTGGCTGCTTTTGAAAACAACTTAGCGCTGATCTCGGAGAAGCTTACCATATCATCATAAAAAAATGAGAATGTAGAGCAAGAATTTCAAAGTATTTTCTTTCATTTCAGCTGAACCATTGATGCTAAATATTTTTTGACTATTTTTTTATTGATCATTGACTGAGTAACAAAAAATTTAACCACTTATAAAAATAGATAAACGTAGGTGGCGCAGACTTGTCTATGTTTGAAATTTTCTATTTCTACACTTCTGCATTTCTGAACATTGCTCCAATAATGCTTTTTTGTCCAATAATGCTTTTAAAAAGCTTGCTCTAAAAATGGAAACTTTTATATGATATCTTTTTGGATAAGATATCTCAAATAATGCCTTATTAAAAGCTTGCTCCAATAATGCAAACTTTTTTATGTTTATCTTTGAAATAAAACAAGTCAGAATTGCGAAACTTGATTTAATACTTCACGATGCGCCCAAAAAAACTTCGGACTTAGTTTGTTACGTATCAGCTTAACCGTTGAGAGTAACAATTTTTGTACCAATCTTTTGAAAAAAGTAGACAAACCAATCTTTTTAGGAGTACGTCATCCTTAGTCGAACTTTTTTTTACTCATGTTGCAACCATTGCGACACAAAATGCTTCGACTTTGCGCTACCGAAGAGTTTATGTGCGACTTAGCGCGACGCAAAAAAGGTTTGTTGCGACCGTTCCTACTCAAAATGGGTAGGTTGCGACTTTGTGCAACCGAAAAGTTTCTGTGCGAATTTGCGCTCACGAAAAAGCTATGTTGCGACTTAGAGCGTTGAATAAAACGTATGTTTCGACCATTGTGACTCAAAATGGGTAGGTTGCGACTTTGCTCGAAATGTTTGCGCGACCTTGCCCGATCCAAATATTGCGATTTTGTGCAACCAAAAAACGATATGTTGCAGCTACAAAACGATATGTTACAACATTGCACGACTCGGGTCAAGATTTGCAATTGAAGAATTCCCTTACTAAATTCCATTATTAAATTCCATTTTTAAAACTGCTTAAAACTTTTTTTAATGCGCGACTCAAGTTGTGATTTCGCACGACTAGAATTCTGCGCGGCTCATTTTGAGACTTACCGCGACCCATATTGCGATTTTTTGCGGCTCAAGTCTCGCGCGGAATTATGGAATTTCGGTTGAAGAAAAGTCATTTTGGCGACCCAAGTTGGCCGTAACATGAGCCGCAGACCTCGGCCCGGGATACAACATAACAAAGCAAATTACACGTCGATGTTGCATTTCCTCAATCTTCGTTCAAAAAATATTATTTTGAAGATTTTTTGTAGTGAATTACATCAACGAAAACTAAAATGTGTTCAAACTTACTGATGCCTCGCTGTATTGTTCTCGAATGTTTTGTTCAAGAAGTCTATGAAAGGAGTTGATTCCAGAATACTCTCAACCGGAAGACCAGAAAGACGAACATTACCGAATTCGTCTTCTAAGCGTTTTCCCAAGTAATTTTGTGGATTGGATGGCACATAGTTCCAAGTCAGCAGTCTAAAATGCGCAGATTGATTTCTCCCAGAAAAAAAAACTTAGCGAAAAATCACCCTCAGTAAAAACTAGCGGAATTTTCAGTGTAACTTCGATATCTTAAGCTGCTGTTTTGGCTGATAAATTTTTTCTACCATCTGTACATTACTGTTTTCATGAGCTCAATTTAAAAATCACCTGTAATCACTTTTTCAAAAACTAAAAAACTAAAAAGACTTAAAAAATTGCTATTTTGGCAAATTTGGAATGATAAACGCTCGAATTGCAACACGCGTACAAAAATCAAAGTGAATTATTTTAAATTAATTAAAACATAAGTACTGAATGTTTCGACTGCACTTTAAGGCCAATTAAAAGTTTTTTGTTACAATAGCTGACGAAACAATACAAAAAATTTTAACAAATTGTTTTTTTTGTCTCCCCACACGCTATGGAAAATCACAAAAAGGTATATTTAGCGTCTCGTATTCATTTTTTTAAAAATTTTTTCATCGATTTTTTGAAGCAAAATGCTGTGCAAATAACATTTTTTGCTTATGGAAACATTGTTGGCACACAACTTTATTGATTTGAAAAATCAAGAATATAAATGCAATCACAAAAGAATCTTGCTATCGGAAACCGGGCGTTTCATCCTCATTGCAGAATCAAATTTAAAAAATAAAATGGGTCTTTTAAAATCTACTCATTCATTGTGTTCTGTTTCTGTTAGTCGAGGTTAGAATATAGTTTTTATTTTGCTGTTCTCTATGTAACTTATGTTTGATGTTGATTATGTAACTTTCAAACTTATATTCTTATAATCAAGAGAACAACCGCATTCAAAATTCTTCTATAACTTCATTCGAAACTTGGAGCAATAGCATCACTTTCAAATATATGATTAGTAGAAACTTAATTATCAGCTCGAAAGTATCGACCATTAAATCTACAATGACTAAGACTCACCGGGTGCAGTAGTCTGACATCTGTCTGGCGACACTTTCAACCGTGCATAAGTTCCGATTTCGAGCCCAGGGGTGTTTCGTTTCTAAAATCCAAACATTCTTCGACTCGCCCCAATCACCGCAAATCATTTTTTCGGGTGGTGTTTCAATTTCGACTTTTGATGCTAGCGTCTTGTGAGTATAAGAGAATTTATTGAAATAGGATATAGAGAAAACATTTTTATCGAAAACGTTAGAAATATACCAGAGTGAAATAACTATTATCATGCAAGCAATCAATCGATTTGCAATGTGATTCATCTTGTTTGCCTCAATTTATATTGAAAATTATAACACGGAATTATTATCGATGATGTTGAAAAACTTTAGTCTTTTTTTTGGAATTGTGGTAGTTTTTCAACAATTAACTCGAAAATAACAACTGCTGCAATTGTTTTTAATAATATAACAATTTTTGAGTTATTCGAGCCAACGATCATGCGAACATAATTGCGACAACATCTTACGTTTGAGTGATCATCTGAACTGAGACATATTTGCATTCAAGTGTTTATAATGTGTTTATCAAGTGCATATAAATAAGCATATTTGAATTAATTTATAATTTAACTTAGTTTTATATAATCTGCCGGTATTGCTGTACAACATAGTCAATCTTTTTCTGTAGAAAAACTCTCGAAAATTATTTCATTTATATCCAAAGTATTTTTGATAACCAAATTAAATCTCTATTCGCTGCAGAAAAATCGCAAAATTAGGATCACAAAAAAACTCTGAAGCTAAATGTATCATAGCCTTTTTCGGAAAATGGCTTCTGCATCCCGTTTTAGGCGTTAATAATTAATTTTATAATGATTTTATTATCACTCTCACTAAAATTGAAAAAAAATTGCAATTTTATTCAATTAACAATCTATTATATTTTTTTTTCATAAAATTAAATTATCATCGATTGAAAAAAAAATTGACCCAATATAGTTGAATATTAACGCATCGGTATTTCGATACAATTATAATCAATTATAATCAATGATTTCTATCCATTTTTCTAATTCAAATGGCTTTCACAAAACACATTATAATTGATTATAATCCTCTTAATCGATTATCATCGATTATAATCCGTTATACTCTATTATAATCAATTAAAACTTTTATGTTTGCCCATATGGTCGTAGACTTTGTCTCTGAATTGCATATTATTTATGCTTTTCACAAGCGTTGGTTTATATGAAAAATGAGAAATTGTTTTAAAGGTTGTTAAATCATTTCAAAGTTATTTAGCGTTTTTTGTTTCACTTCTTCGCCATTAGTGTGACAGGAGATCTCCTTTTTGGAGATTTCAATACTGACAGAAAAATAATAATCTATAGAAATTAATTAATAAATAGTTTTGGTGTAACAAACTTTTGACAAAATAAGAGAACATAATCGATCATAATCAGTTATAATCAATCATAAGAAATTTTAATCTCCAAGAAAGTATCACCATTATAATTGATTATAGATCCTTTGAACACCCAATTTGGTAACTTTAGTCAAGTATAATTGTTAAAAAACCAACATAATAATCCAGTATAGTCAATTGCTTAAGCCTGGCCTGAACTTGGATGCTGAAGCGATGACAAGCCTGTTCAGTATTTTTTTAGTTTCCGGAAGAGGTGCTCATTTGTTTCTCGACCAATAATTGGCATGTTTTGACCGTCTCGACCAAATTCGGCTAAGTCTCAATCATGCCCGACCCAAGTAATATTTGGTTCAACCGTGCTCGAACGAAAAAAGTGCTCGTTTGTACTCGACGCAAGATAGATGTGTTTCGACCGTCTCGACAGCAAAACTGTTATCGACCCAAAGAACACTTTTCATTCGTTCTATCAAATTCATCATTTTTTTCTCTCGACATTGGTTCTACATCGGTTGAACGTTCTAGCTGGTATAAAACGAATCAAAACGTTTTTTCAATTTCAAAATTCCACAAGTGTAAGTTTGATTTGAAAACCAAGTAGTGTACTTTAAGACCATTTCGAATAATCCAGTATTTCCTACATTTCTTTTCTCTTTTAAAACTATCATAATTGAACAAATTTGTTTAATTATAGACTCAACTTTTATGTGCGAACACATAAAGTCAATTAACTCATAAAATCAAATCACTAAATATAAAGTCATTTTCTTTGTTAACTTTAGTCACATGCACAGCTTAAAATGTTTTCAATTGTAAAAGATTAAACACTATAGTGATGAGCCACGATCATCAAAGCTTATTTGAGTAGTTTTGCTGTTTTTTGCAAAATAAAAAGTTTTGTAATGAATTTTAAAGTTTTGTGATTTTGAAATTCTAATTGAAATTACAGTAATTTTGCTAACTCAACATAATCAGTTGTGTTTTTCTGGAATGAGGTAATTGAAACAACCTGTCAGCGTAAATCCAATTTTTTTTGCTGATTTCCTATTGAAACAAACTATAAATTTTTATGTAATTTTTTGACCAGATTTTACATGAAATTTCTAGCCATTAATTTTTTAAATTCAAAAACTAGTTAAAAACAAACTCAGCAAAACTATATATAGAAAAAACTATTTTATCAAGCAATTAACAACTGTATTATTGAAAACTTGCCGCATGATTTTTTTTATATGTCACAGTATTAGTTTTATTTATTGTAAAATACAAAAATTTCAAATTTTTGGGGTGAACTATCAATCGAAATTTCCAAAACTTAATAAAAAATAACTTAAGCTTTTTTGTAGATTTTTGTTCTGAACTCGATGCACTGAGATCAAAAAACAAATAATAACTTTTGATTTTATTTGAATCTATGGAGGTTTTATTTAAATTCGAGCTTTAGTTAAATTGAGATAAAATGTGCGCAAAGCTTTTCATTTCGACCACCTAAAAAAAAGAAGATAGAATAAGCTTCTGATCATTTTTAGTGTTCCGACCATTGAACATGGGGCGAAAATTTGTATTCGGGTTTGTTTTAAGTTTGGTTTAACTTTTCCTAGTTTCCCACGCAAAATCAGGCACCACAAATAATCATGGGACTGGGTTGAGTGATAAATCGTTTTTAAGCCATGAAAGTCGTGATCCGACGACATTGAAACTTTTTCAAAATTTCCAGTGTCGAGAAAACCGGTTAAAAATTTTGACTTTTCGTTTATTTTGAGCAAGTAAAGCAATCGACTAACGTTCGTTATGCATGAAAATTACCAATTCAGGCTAGAATTTACATAATTTTTTTAGGAGATTAATTAATTTAGGAAGTATTTTTAGCGCTTTCTTGGCAAAACAAAAATCTTTTCAAAAAAAATTAAAATTTTTATTGCGAAAAATTGAAAAACTTTTTCATATTTTTTTCTTAATCATTTTTCGAAGACAAAAGTGGTCCTTTATGCTTAATTCCTTAAATTTTTATGGGCTTGTATAATTCTACCATCACTGACGTACAAGAAAAAAACACTAAATTCATGAAAACAATTTTGGAACTTTTTGGTGGACAGCAACTGGCTATCCTAGGTTTTATGAGTTTGTAATTGAACAGTTTAGAGTGAGGATTGAAACTGATATCTACGTTTTTGGGTCGTGTGTGCTACGCACTAATTAAAATGCGCGGTATCATCTATTTTAATCTTTGAATTTCTATTGATGATACTGAAAGATTTAAAACTCAAATTGGCTTTAATTTTTGTTAAAGATTCAATTTTAAGCACCTGATATTCGACATTAACAATCCTCAGTTTATTAATTATCGAAATTCTTAATTGTCAAAATTTTTATAAAGAACATATGGACTGTTGGACCACTGGGAACACAGAGCCCTCCAATTACAATCAGTCTTAATCTTTGTAGTTTGTAGCGTAAGCTACTTACTAGACTGGCTTAAAAATTACTTTAAAAAGAAAACAAATTGAGTCCTATTTTGCCTAGGCTCTCCTAACTTTTTTTCTAAGAAAAGAATGAGAGGTTGAAAACTTCAGAAAAAAAGGACATCACACGTTATATAACACCTATTACCCGCACTGGAATTCCATGGATAATAATCGATTATATTGTCATTTTATAGTCAGTATCTATAAAATTACAGAACTAATCGATTTTAATCCATCAAAAATGAATTATAACTCTAGTATTTTGTATATCAATATGATTCATTAAAATCCATTATAATCGATTATAACCCATTAAAAATGGATTAAAATCATAATATTTTTTTAATCATTATAACCCATTCTAATAGATTATAATCGATTCTAATGTAATTTTTGAGAGAATTTTTGAGAGAATCAAAAATATCTCAATTCCTGTTTTGTACAGCTACTACAAAGTACGTTTCATAAGTTCCTACTTTTCTTTTCACATAAGTTTTTTTTATTTAAGTTTTATCTACTTTTTCTATGCTCCGTAAACTCCATCGCCTCTTTTAACATCCCCCTTCCCCAGTTTACCCCCGCCCCACAGTTTACCCCTCAGTTTTGTGGTCTGAACTTGCACAAAAATGGATTATAATGACAACATTTTAGATAACAATTTTCCATTTTAATCGATTATTATCCATGGAACTCCGGTGCGGGTACATGAAAATTAGATTTTTCAAGACCTACTTCGACCTACTACAAGCAGGCTTGTTGTTTCGTCTTTTTAACCACATATGACTTTTTACCAACATTTTTGACAGATATTTTACACTATTTGAGTATTTTTGATGACTTCTAAAACTAAAAAAAAAAAACCTGCTGATCTTCCGACAATGAGTACATGAAATTTGGTCTTCTTTAAGTTTGGATAATAAATCCATGCTAATCACCACTCTTTCTTTGGGCGCAACGTGATCAGCATTTTGGGCCGGCTCGAAAACTTATTAATCTCGAGATTTGGTCAAAATAATGAGTTATTAGAAGTCTCCATAAACTTGAACTTGCGCATGGGGCAAAAGTTTGCCAGAAAAGTTTTTTTCTAGACTATCATCTTTAAAACAAAAATACATGAGATACTTTGTAGAGCAGTCGGAACACTCAAAGGCTAAACCCTATAAAGAACCCTTTGCTTTTTAGCACAATATCTGCCCTGAGTAACAAACAGTTATGTTATCGTTAGCTAAACCAATTTTGCACACAGTTTCTGATTACTT